GAGGGTGCAAGGCATAAAGCAGATATCAGAAAAGCTGAAAGGAAAACAGTAAAGTTGTTCTGCTTTTTTCCATTTAGGCTTTCATCACCTTTGTGTTGTTGAACATCCTGTAAAGATAATTTTAGCGGTCTTCTGTTGTTTCTGTATTAAGTAACGTACCTTCACGTGAGAATACACAAAGCAACGACCCTTTTGGTAATATTAGCCAAGAGGTAATTTCACTAATCACTAAAATAAGGTGCTACCTCATGCTTCCCAGCTCCACAGTATTCATCCCCATAAAGCTGATTATTCAAAAGATAAATATGACTATTACATTTTAAAATGGTGAATCCAACTGATCGCAGTCACATAGGCTATGCGACATTGCCTATGCTGCTGCTATGTATTAATGATGACTGTCAGAAGGCTAGAAAAATATTCTTATGTCTTCTTATAGTTCCCCAAAATCAGCCCCAAAATTCTGATGGGTCCAACTCCATATATATTTGTTTTAAGAGTTGGGGCAGAAATTGGGATCAAGATGAAAAATAGTTTTTAAAATAATCATGGCTGAAAACATGCAAAGATTTTTGTTTCACAATTCCTCATATAAATATCGCAATATGTGTTAAAAAAAAAAAAAAAAAACAGAATATAAACCATTTATTACTCTTAAGGTTAAACTTTGAAACTATGGTTAGCAGGCTATGAATGCCACAAATTTTAAGTAACCAACTAAAAACAAAGCCGATAACCCTACTAATTAACACCTGAGATTTCCATGATATACCCTAAGAGTCACACAGATTTAGTGTGTGTCATGTGAGAGTTTTAGTTATGAATGCAAGTCACAATATGGGGGAAAATTCGCTGTCTGGAAGAGGGCTGCACTCTCTGAATGCTTTTCTAGTAATGGAGTACTTTTCTTCTTTCTGCACATAGTTAACTTTATAAAATATTGATTCTTTTGGAAAACATCTAGAAATGCTGACGCAGAAGCTCATGTGTGTCCAAAAGAACATGCTGATAATGAGGCAACATGCCGCGGGACACTGTTTGAGAGAGAAATAGATGCAGAATTAGTTTTTTCTCTCTCCAGAAGATATTTGTGCTTGTTATATGTATTTCCTTATACATTTCATTTTTTATAGTAGTATTTATAAACATAAAATAAAAGGGAAACCCTTCTATATTTACCTAAGATGGTCATAGCTTAGGAGTCCTACTTGCTCACCACTGGTGCATTTATTTAAGGCCTGTGTGGTCTAAATTTTAATTTAGCATTAGTAAAAAGAGTCAGTGTAGATGAGCCCAAATTCATTTTGGTACGCTGCTCAACCTGAAAATGAATATACTTGTAAACAATGCTAGCCAGGACTATTAGCGTACATGGACTGCAGACAGAGCTAATGGGGTTTAAGAAAAGAATATCTTTCAAACTGAGCATGAATGGAGTTCTAATTAATTTGTGCTAGTAGAAATGGCTTTTATAAAAAGTAAAAATAAGAAAATTTAATTTAGAATATGTAACAAAACACTTTCTGACAAAAAGAAGCATAAAGTGACAGATGGATATGTAAAGATTAGTTCCAGAACTGAGTAAAGACATTTCTTTATGCATTTTTAGCTACATAGCATATTTTGTACTTCTCCCAATCCTTCCCTGAACAGTTGGTAAATAGAATAATTACTGGCTGGTCAGTGTAGTGTGAAATGACAGCATGACCACCCCACAATGAAACACTGCCCTAATGCTGACAGAACATGATGAGCACATGACTGTCTGAATACAAAATGTTCCCTCACTGCGTGGGGGAGATAGAAAACAGAAATAGGAGGGAATTTTTTTGTGCACAAAAGAAAAATAAAGGCAGAGCAGCGGGGAAGACCTGAAAAGTATTCCTTCACCAAACTCGTGCTAAAGTGATCTTTTCACCCCATCCAAGCAACTATGGAAAAAAGCTAATCTTTATAAATTTAATCATTAGGAAAAAATTTGGGGACTAAAGAGTGTGGAGCTGAATTCAATAGAGCAGGAGCTGGGAGACGTCAGGGTGGTCGATGAGGTCACTAACCATCATACAACAGTGGTCACCACACTTTCATATTTCCCTAGAAGGACTCTGTAACCCACAGTGCCTTTGCTAAAGTATTTATACCCCTTGAGCCTTTTGGCATCACCTCCAATACAACAGAATTCATTGTATACCTGTATATAATACCTGTTTTGGTTACGCTATTGAAGAAAAATCTTGATTGGATATCGTGACAATGGGCCTGATCCAAAGGGTCAGATCTATTAAGCCTATTTCTATGTTGGAATGGAGACTACATGCGCTAGTGAATCTGCACAAAGTGTCACATTGTGAACAAAATGGAGCAGCTGAAATGCTCAGTTTTCGGAAACTTACTTCAGCCACTCTTGAAGACTAGGTGCAATAATTCTGCTATGTGGAAATATTTTTATGTACCCCCTGCAATATCCTTGCAGACCCCTAGGGGTACGCCTATCCCTGGTTGGGAAACACTGATTTCGCTTCACATTGTCTTGACATTACCCTTAGTTGCGCATCCCCTTTTAAAAATCCTGGATCCGCCCCTGCAAATCCTCAGATCCCTTTTTAAATAAAGCATTCTATCCACTGTTTCTTCATATAGCCTGCTCCCAGGACATATTTGAACATGGTATTTGAAGGATACTACAAAAATATAATCTGGAAGGAACATTCTGCATATAAACGTGTTTTCCATTATGTGTGTTTTAAGTCAATCTTGTGAAATTTATTGTAGGGATGTGCTAAAAAATGCAAGTTGACGACATCCTCACTTAATGATGAAAAGAAGTGAGAATTGGTGTTATGAAGCTGCATATTTAACAAGTTCCCACATACTCTGACAATGTTAGGGTGGCTGTGGGCGCATGTTGAAAAAAACTGGTATGCTTGAATCAGAAGCAGAAATGCTTGGCAAAATCTGCCACTGGAAAAGGATCGTCTCTTTCAGAGTTTTACTAAACCCGATCACAAAAGCGCGCACAATCCTGCCAATTGTAGATGTTCCCTCCATCAACTGATCTATTCTAAACAGGTGGCAAATTAACAGACTTCTTTACAATAATAGGCAACCCACTCAGGTCATTAATTCTTCTGAAGTTGTCCCAATCCTCAAATTGAGGAGTCAAAAATTCTGTTACTTTGATAGGCAGGTGAGGTAGGGAGATAGAAAGGAAGGATTTTCCTGAAACAGATGCTAGCATCTGGTAATTAGATGACAACAGCCCAGCAGTAGCAGCACACAGAGCTTTTAATTTGTTTTGTATCCTGTCTGCCACGCTGTCACCTTTTGTTTTTTCTCTAATCAGAACCAGCAAATTGCTACACAAATAAAATAAATGTGTTGGAAGCCGCTTCAGTGATGCCACCCCAAAGAGCGTTTTTTTAATAGACTGTTGACACAAGGGGAAATGTAAGGGCTACTACGGTGCTTAGTGTAAAATGTTAGTCTGAAACCAAGGTACAAGCTATTCTGAAGCTTAAAGAACTCATTCTCAGGGTCCAAACTAATATCTAAAAATGATGTCATCAAAAAAGTATGTTGAAACTAACTGAGTGACTTTTAACAAGATCTTATACCATGATATATATACCTTGATACCTTATCTAATCGTCCCCTTCATTTATTTTGAGGTAATTCTGGTACAAGTTTTCCAGATAAAGCTTAATCTAACCTTTAAAACTAAATGTCTCAGTCAGTATAAAATTTCACAAATGCAATCTAAGACAAACCAAATGTTCCTCTATTATCCTGTGGATTCCAAATGCTGTTGCTTTTAGATCAGATTTCTGACAACATGTTCTTTGGGGTGTTTTCTGTGTAAAGTGATGCAGCTGCTAGAAATGCTGCACTGGAAAATAACTATAACCTTACAGAGAGTTTGATAAGCATGTGGGCAATCAGAAGTAATAATGCTGACTAAAGAAGTTAGGTTTTTAATTGATCACACCGAGGCTCTAAGTCGCGTGTTTTCATGAGTTTGGTAAGATATATAGCATATATACTATGTGCCAGTGGCCTGATTTGGACAGTGTATACACTGCCACAAAGATCATGGGATGTTTATTATAGTTGCTTGATGAGATTCTATTCACTGTGTTAGAAGGATGTGATGCTTAGAGCAGCCAATCGCTCAGAAACCATAAAAATAAATTAGTTGGAGCATTACCAGCCCATTCTGGATGAAGTTGTACTTCAGCATTAGGCCAGACCTGCTCTCAATTCTTTAATGACAATGCAAGCTGGGTCTTAGTCATGAAAAAACCAACACTTCATGCCTCCTCCATGGTGCATCCTGGATCCTGATGCACTTCCACAACCATATCAAAGGCTTTGGCAAATTCACTATTAAAGGTTTCTGCATGCTGCAAACAATTGAGAAGGTTTATGGCTCCCTGATGGCTGATGGGAAGCTATGTTAAAGGCACACTAATGACCATTAACATTCTTCTTCTTGAAAGAAGGTGTGTTGTTTTTGTTTTAATGTTAACTAAACTATCTAAGGTTCAAAAATCTCATTTAACAAGTTGTGTCTTTTTGAGTAACTGAGGCTTTTGTTTTGACATTTCACCACGATTTTACAACATATTTATACAAGAATTAAAAAAAAAGGAATGCTCAATGTTAATTTGACATCTGAGTCACAATATGATAATAAAAGAAATGAGGAGTGATAATAGTAAATTATCACCCAGTCTCACAACTGTGAGCAAAACTGTTTAACACACAGCTGGAAAGTGTAGAGTCCACATTAACGGACCACTAGCATTGCAAATAGCCTGCAAGGATTTTTGTCTTGTTAATTGTGTTTTCTTTTCTGAAACTGAAATCAGCTGTTAGCAAACAAAAAGAAACACATTTAAATCGCAAATAAGATACTTCATACTTATTTAGTATTACTGATGTAATGCATCAGAATGAAACACCTTTACAAATGGAGCACTTCAAATATATTCAGTATTTACCGTATCAGGGCTTCGGTTTTAGTTGCAGCTTCAAAATACTGTTCAGATGTCTGCTTGTAGTTCTCAAAGCTCTGCAGGTGGAGAAAAAAAGAGACAAAAAATTTGAGAAATTAGTCAAAATGTCCAAGAGCTCAAAGATTATGTGCAGTGCACAAAGAAGTTAATTAAAGAAACGGTTTCCTGGGTTTAACATTTTCGATTTGAGGTTGCAACGTTATAAAGCATAAAAATATGACTATGTCAAACTTCAAATTGAGTTTAATGAATTAAACCTTCACAGTTTGCATATCTACATAACATTAATAAAGTTCTAATCACTTTTGCGGCTTTAATTGAAGCATTAATAGGCTAGAAGTGATGAGCAAAATGCAGAAAGAACCACTGTAAATGTCACATTCCATAAATTAGTGACCTTTGGATTTTACAGCCTGCTTACAAATCTGAATATCGACGCTCTGGTGGTACTCCATAATGTTTTATTTCATTCGAGAAACCCTGGCATTTAAATTGCAATTACAACCCAGATGCAGCTTGTACCTGCTGGGCAAAGTCATAATCAGAACACTTTTACCTGAATAATCAGGTGGTCACAGTGTTAAGCACAATCCATAGTTGATAATGCGCTGGATAAGATGGAAAAAATGTGCAAGATTTGATTTCTGAAAGCAAAATTCAATGTCGGCTGCTCACGACGATCACCTTAGAGGCTTAATGTCAAAATGTATGAGAAGCTGTGTCTAAAAGAACCCAAACACGAACCTAATCTCACTCGCCACCCTCTCATACACATTTACTGCAGTAATCACCATTTTAAACCAATAACCGCAGCTCTCAGGCCATTACTTAATAACTCCCTATATTTCCAATAGATGAGGTGATAGGAGAGGGAGATAATTGAAGTGACTGTGCAGAGAGGAGATGGGATCAAACACAAACCTCCACCACAATCCCTGGCCTTCCACTCCTTCAGTGCCTGGAAGTCCTTTTTTTCATATCTCATTATTTTAGGCTCATCTGCAGACAGGCTTGCCCAGCTTTGAATGGCTGGTGTTGGAATAGACTCAACATATCCTCACAGGCATTTTTCATTTAATCTGTTCTGCTTCTATTCTTTGCGATGTAGTTATCTGACCCTGTATCATTTCCTTTCTTATTCATTAAAGCAATAAGACAGAAGTCATGCCCATTTTCAGATCAACAAGTAATACTCTAGGCTGTGGTACCTTCCTGCTTTTTCAAAGGGATTATGGTTAAAAAAGACAAAAGCAATAAATATGACTATTCTAAAATATAAAAGAACTACAGTTTTACCTTTTTAATAAATCAAGTCATTTTTTTCCATTCATTCATTCATTCATTCATTTCCGACACGCTTAATCCCAAGTGGGGTCGCGAGGGATGCTGGTGCCTATCTCCAGCTGTCTACCGGAGAGAGGCGGGGTACACCCTGGACAGGTCGCCAGTCCATCACAGGGCAACACAGAGACAAACAGAACAAACAACCATTCACACACACACTCACACCTAAGGAGAATTTAGAGAAGCCAATTAACCTAACAGTCATGTTTTTGGACTGTGGGAGGAAGCCAGAGTACCCGGAGAGAACCCACGTATGCTCAGGGAGAACATGCAAAATCCAAGCAGAAGGACCCCAGGCCAGGAATCGAACCCAGAACCTTCTTGCTGCAAGGCAGCAAAGCTACCCACCGCAACACTGAGCAGGCGTAATTTTTTTTTCCTCCCAAAAAAAAAAAAAAAAAATCACTCTACATTGCTCAAAAAATAAAGGAATAGTCAAATAACACATTCTAGATCTGAATGAATGAAATATTCTCATTGAATACTTGCTAGTTCAAACAAAATCACACAAAAATTATGGACACAGAATCACACACAAAATTTAAGTGGAACACAGACTATAGACAATCCCACCCCAATGCAGGGGATAAAACATTGTGCCTGGGCAGCCAAGCCAACAATTGGCCTGAACGACCCCCCTTTCAGAGACATAGCCCAGTATCAGGTATTGCAGGCTAACAAAGAGCCCAAAACAACTCCCCATTCCTAAGGGGCGGACCCGTTCTTCTGGTTCAATTTGCATGTTTTCTAAGACAAACAAGTTTTGGGGCTACTAGGCTACTATTTAAAGCTTCAAATTCAATGCTAATTCTGCCATTTTGAATTGAAAAAGCTTCCTGGATGGGAAGTGAAACATCTTCAAACTTGGAAACAAAGTCCTGTGGATTGTTTTTTAAAAATTTTTGGAATGACTATGACCTGGATGGCTGAGAATCTTCACCAGCATACGACAAGATACAATGTTCCCTCTAATTTATCATGTGTCTGAGCATACACAAAAACTCCCTGATTACACTGAGGACCACTGTGAGCAACATCAGATGTGTGTGCGGAGGCCATACACCACTTGTTATAAACCCGGGATCACAGTAAGTTACATGGTTTATGAAAAGAATAAGAGATTATAGTAACAAGTTCTATTAGCTTACTTTTAATTTAAAATTAAAATAAAAACCTCCATGAGATGTGTAGTATGCTACTGTATATGTAAGAGTCCTGCTTTGGTGAGGATGAGGGTTGAAATGTGTGCTGAAGCTTGTGATACGGCATAAATTCCTGTAGCTCTTTGTCTGTTGTTTTTTATATTACACAGTTTTAGCGTTTCTACCATAAATTACATAAAAATGGTGTAACAGTATAAGAATTGCATGATTAATATCCATAAATAAAGAAAATAATGTCACTAGAATAGGATCAAATCATACTAAATATCTTTTTTTCCACATCCATCCTTCTCACTTCTCCAATGGTTGTCCAAATCTGTCACTTGAAGAGTTTTCTGGATACTGTTTATATATAATTCATTAAACCAAATCTTCTATCACAATCAGCACTGGATGCTTGACATGTAGCACACATATCCAGAAGCCATGAGATCTCCTTTAGTTCCTTACATCTAGGTGCTGCAGACACCATATCTGAGATCTGCTGATCGACCCCTGTTTATGTTTTTGCTTCATCATTAACTTGAATTTAGCAAAAGAAAAAAAGTCAGAGCATCACGCTGTGCTGTAAACAGGTGTGACTTAAACTGTGTGCATGTTGGATAGCAGGGCTGTTACAAACCGGTGAGTTTCATGGTTGTGGAGGACTGATAAATAATTTAGGCGCCACATATTCTTCTTCCAGCTGGATTATTTATTTATGCATCTGTAGCTCTCTTTGATGCACTGATGCACAAAGGATGTTTGTTGAACTTTTTTATAAATGGACACTGGTGTTTAATTAAATATATTCATCCAAATATAAGTCTTCAATGTATTCATATTTATTATAAAACTGATTTGATGGTGATTTTCTAAACTAGGAGCAGATGATGGGCCAGATCAGCTAGTTATCAGAAAAGCAGGCTTGTATGCCGCATTAATGCAGTAATTGAGGCAAAAGGAGCTCCAACCAAGTATTGAGTATTGTACATGCTTATATTTTTTAATTTTCATACTTTTCAGTTGGCCAACATTTCTAAAAAATCCCTTTTTTGTATTAGCCTTAAGTAATATTCTAATTTTGGTACACACGGAATTTTGGATTTTCATTTGCTGCCTTCAAATCATCAAAATTAAATGAAATGAACATTTGAATGCATCAGTCTGTGTGGAATGAATAAATATAATGTACAAGTTACACCTTTTGAATGCAATTACTGAAATAAATCAAGTTTTTCAAAATATTCTAATTTACTGGCTTTTACCTGTATATATCTAATTTAGAATGGGAAGATAAAATAAGTGTTCTTGATCTCTATATAATGTAACGAAATTCAGGAGAAAACATTTTTTTTCTCGTATTTTTATTGTTGGTTTTAAGTTGAAAAATAAATGATAAACTAATCAAACTGATACAGATAAAAATATATCGGATTTTTCAAAATTGTATCTGCGTGAACCCAAAGTTTTACGAACCGAGACTCGACCAGTTACCCACAATTATCCCCATTTAAAATCTGGCACGGACCTGTAAATAAGAAAGTGCGACCCGACTCGTCAACATAAAGTGTACACAGCTGTTGCACTTACAAGGAATTTGACTTGATGTTTATGGTGCAGACAAATTCAATGTGGCTTGGGTTTTGCTTGAGGAGTGTTAATTTTTTTCTTTTTTTTAACATAGGTAGATATGGATAGCTAGGTTTTCTCTCAATAAGATATAATTGGAAGCTTGCTTTTTGTACTTCCTTAAATAAGCTTTAGCTGTACGTGTGACAACAAAAAATGTTCAGCATACTATGCAGGGTAGTCAGCATTTTCCCTTTTCTTCAGCATATTTACAAATACTTTTTATAATAAAAGAAGTACCAAACTAGAAAATATTCATTAGCATTTTTTAGCCGTGCAAGAAAGAAAACAAGAAAAAAATTAAATAAAGAAATTGAGTCATGATTAGAGCATCTGGATTAGCAGGTACAGCTTCTCTGTTAGCGTTGTTCTGGGACAGTGGGACCGTTTTGTGCTCCAGTCTATTAACATGTAATTTTGAGTCTTTGTATGCGAGCAGACCTAAAGCAGCAGCCATAGATCAGCTCTTTTGACACCAGAGAAGAGGATCGCCTATCACTGGCATACATGCTCTGAGCTCTTCCCAGTCGTTTCCACCCATTGGGACAAAAGCCCAATGTGGAGAGACTGAAAAGGGGGAGATGATAACCCTCCAAGGGGAAGAGCTAGGTTTTGAGGTTGTTGGAAAGGCTCATGCAGGGGATTAGTGTGAACGCAAGTGTGCTGTGTTTGTGTATAATCTTGCATACATGCAGGTGTGTGACTAAATCTGTGTTTGCTCCCGAATCTGTGTTCAGACGATCCTTGCATGCACACTTGTCTGAACAGCCTCTAGGAGCTGTTGACTGAGATGGGCTGATGTCAGGGTTTCGAAGGGAGGGGTTCTTTCACGCTCCATGCATGGACGACGGCGGATTAATTTCTCTTTCTGAGGGACAAGTCGATGAAGACGGGGAAGAAGAAGGGATTAAACGAGGTGAATTTTAAACTAAGACTTG